AAAGGAACAAATAAAGAGAATGAAGAGCACACTACCATTTGAACAAGTGCTTCATTTTTAATTCTTTTCTGCTGGTGTGTCATCATGACTTGTTTGCATTGAACGTACTAAGCTGCGAACATCTGACAGATGTGTTCTTTTTTTTTTGCACTCACCTTTTCTTTATTTCACAGTTACACAACAGACAAGTCTGAGATAAATACACGTGATTCATCTTTACAATCAATCAAATAAATTAAGTTCCTTTACATGTATCTAATATGAGAAAAATCATAAACTTTACCAGAGATGGTAAAAACAACTAAATTCACATTAAATTCCCCAAAAAGTAACAACAACACGTGGTGTTTTGGACCAGAAAGGCCAACAACAGCCCATTCTTCTGTCATTTTTAAAAGAAAAGGAAGACATCTAAGATTTGCATTGAGGTGCTCATTACTAGGAACATATCACAAGAAAAATCAAGCGGCTCCTTTTACTTTGTGATGTTCATCCTGAAGAGGCTCACTTGCTTTTCATCACATCCTTCCGCTGTCGGGTGGAGCAGTTCTACCGTAAAGTGAGTTGAAAATATTCCAGACAGCAGCCTATTTTTTTTATTTATTTTCTTTTTCTGCATGCTATAAAAAGAAAAAAGTACAGTACTTCAAACTCTTTTTACTCACGGATGGTTTCAGCAGTGTGTGTTTTCTCGTCCTGCGTGTGTTTCTGTCTGAAAGGTGAGCGGATGATTAAAAAAAAATAAAAAGCAAAACCAGACAAACATTTAGGGTTCGAGAATTGGACTTTTCAAGTAACTACGAACGGACGTGTCGGGACAGTCCCCCTGGTGAAGCGTCTGTGTAACACTGGGGTATTGGGTTGGGTTTCCTCTCACAGTCCGGCCCCGATCTTCCTGTCTCCTCCTCCGACCTGCACCCCCTCCAGCTCCTCGTCGGAGAACGGGCTGTGGGGGTCGTAGCCGAGGCTGCTGCTCCGCTGCAAGAAGTCTGTGGAGCGTGGCATGCCGACTCTGTTGCCCAGAGCAACGGGATACACACGTCGGGGTTCGTCTTGTTCTTCTTCTTCTTCTTCCTCCTCCTCCTCCTCCTCCTCTACATCCTCTCCGTCCTCCAAACCCAGATCGATCCCTCGGTCGTCAGGGTTGGCGGCTCGTCTTCCGTCCTCCGATTTGTCGGCGGCCGCCTTCCCCCCCCCGCGCAGCCGCTCGCCGTCGGCCGGGTTGGAGGCGGCGGACTGCTCCTTGGCCTTCCTGCTGCGCTTCCACTTCATCCTCCGATTCTGGAACCAGATCTTGACCTGCAGGAAGAGGCCAAAGCAGCAGGTCGTTCACACCGACTCCAGCGTAAAGCGGAGATAACCGCCCACCCCCTCCCACACTTTCAGTTTGCCCAGATCTCTTTAGAAATGTCTTCCAGGGTTAGCTACCAGGCTGCTTTAGACCGGGGCATTTGACAAATGAAACACACACCCTGTCTCCAAATCATAACCACGGAGTTTTCTTTGCACTGGGAATTCTAAATTAATCAAACGTTTGAAACAAACATGACTTAATGTAGCACATTTTGACCATTACAGCTGACAAGAATCTGCACAGCAAAGGAAAGAGCACGCTGGAATTTAGAGACTCCTCATTTTTAGATTTAAAGATACACATTTTAATATAGGATACGAGAGAGATGTCTGCTAAAAGGCCAATGCTCCATTATTTGAAGCTAAGATTTATTTATTCAATTTTTTTAAAGTGAACTTTTGCCCTTTTTGTGGCATCCACCTGTCTATGAGACACTGACTATGTGAGTCAGGCCAGAAATGAAGGTTTGAAAAATTGTCTGACTCGTCCACAAAAAGGATTAGTTACAGATCCCAAGGAGGGGTTGACTGTCACTCTGAAAAAAATATATATATTTTTGTTTTTTAGAAGTTTTTTTATTCAGTGCATCACTAACCATCCTCTGGAGCCCATTTGATGGTGGGATGTGAGCTTTGTGGACGGGCTTACCTGCGTTTCAGTCAGCATGAGCGAGGTGGCCACTTCGAAGCGTTTGGGTCGGGACAGATACTTGTTCAGCTTGAACTGGTTCTCCAGCTCCAGGAGCTGCTGGCTGGTGAAGGCGGTGCGGGGCCTCCGGCATTTCCCCAACAGGCCGGACTGAGGGCCCGCTGGAAGAGGAGAGAGAAGCCTTCAGTCCATTTTGACTCTCTGTAAATAAACTCATCTCATGCCTTAATTATATGCCTCGAAGCCTTTCAAATTCCTTTGTTTTATATCTGATGATTGTTTATCTCCCAATGGCTGAATTAAACAGAAAAAACATTTCACAGATTTTTTTTTTCTAGATTTCTTAAACTAGGATAATTTAAGTCTAAAATTTTAAGCCAAGCACTGCCACAATTCTTATTTATAAAGACCAAGGACATAAGAAGTTCACTGTAATGGTATGGGTGGGAACAGCCACACATATGCCAGCACTCTCTGGCCATCATTAACTATAATAGCTTTACTCCAGTTTATTGTTGACGGGGGGACACAGCAGAAGCGAGCGCAGAGGCCATAAAAACACAGGCATGCCATTAACTTAATGAAAATTCAATGAAGGCTTTTGGGATTTTATTGATGAACTACAGAACGTTTTAGGTGTTTGTTTATAGTTTCTTCGTCACACAAAGACAATTTTCATCTTGTTGGCGTTTATAGAGAAATAAATGGGCCAAAATTAAAATATGACACACAGATAAAGCAGTAAAAACTGAGGCCGGTGTTCTGGGGGGAACAATGCTCGGCTTCTTAGGATAGCTCATGAAGAGATCAGAAGCATGCCTAAAAAAAGTGGTAATTTACAAAGGTACATTTTCATAGGAGGGTAAATGCCAAAAACTAAAGAAACAAAACTTCCTTGATCTTAAAGTGCATCATGTTCTGTGTTTGATTCTAATAGCAACTGGACTTCTTCATGGATCTGGAACATGTTTCACCTCTCATCCAAAAGGGTTCCTGAGTTATTGGATTTTCTCTTATAGCATTTTTTAATAATGAAATTTAAATATATTTGATATTTTGCTGTCTGATAAGCCTGGATGTAAATTAAAATATTGTGTTTTTTTTCTTTTTTTCCCCTCAGATTCCGGAATGATACAAAAAATAACATCATGGATTAAGAACATTGTGATGTTTGATAATATAAATAATGGATAAATAATAATAATAATAATAATAGAATAATAGAACAGATTTCTAATTCAATCCTCCCCATGTGACATATATGAGTCTTTTCTTCTCAAAGCCATTAATACATGTTTGATCTGACATTTTTTACTACTTTTTCCTCATGAACTCCAAAGTTTTTTTAATTGATAATCTGGATTTGCTTACTGTTGTAGTCTGGCAGCCGTGGCATCATGATCCCGGCGCGGATCCAGTGCTCCAGGGGCAGAGACCCCGCCATGGCCGCCGCCTTCAGGTGCTCCGGGTAGGTCTGCGTGAGCTGCGTGAAGCCCGTGTACGCGAAGGCGGGGTGCTGCCCACCCAGAGCCGACAGCGGGTACATGGGCGCGGGGTACATACCGGGGATCGCCCCCTGGGGGAGAGAAGCGAGACCCGGGTGCGGGAGGTTGAGGACACTGGGCTTGGGGATTATTCCGGTCTGGAGTTGGGCGGCGCGCGGGGAGGGGGTGTTGGCACGGCGGCAGGACACCGGGCTGCCCCCGGGACTGTCGTTGCTCAGGCAGGGGGACAGGTCTCGGTGGCTCCGGTTGGTCTCGTCGGCGAGCAGGGCGTCGATTCTGAAGTTTTTCGACTTCTCCATGACAGCTTCGTTTGGGAAAAAACCCGCAAAACCTAGAAGGAACCGGGTCGTCACGCTCTCATGCGCACCTGTGCCGTGCGTAACCCTGCAGACAGCTGCGCGGATACTGTCACAATCTCTTGTTTCTTATCAAATCAGACAAAAAACGACTTTTCAGCCAATATTCGTAGTAACGCAGGTGTAACTGCAGTTTACGCATTCCCCAGTCTGATTCCTGAAAGTGCCCCAAACGAACTACGGAGGTGTGCCTCCATCAGACTTCCCTCTCCACCACTGGAGGCCGGGGTGCGCGGGGATTGGCTGGAGGCTGAGCTGCTCTGACTGGCCTCTAATCAGCTAATTACTCGCTCGTTTCCTCCCCCCAGAAAGCGCTCAGAGTGAGGTAATGTCCAACCCTTGTCCCGCCCGCGAACACCTTCAACTGCATCAAAGCGCAGAGGTACATTAGAAGATTGGGCACATGTATTTCCAGTCCCACTGCCCGCGAACGCCGCCTCGCCACAGATTGCAGCTATACCTGACATAAAACAAGGAATTATACTCTCTGCTTCGGCCGTACAAACTAATTATTAGGGCTGAAAACATCCTCCGCAACCCAACAGGAAACACGGGCTGTTTTTCAATCCTGCGCAATTGGACACTTCCCCCTCTATCAGTTATCATTATTTTATTTTTGTAAAACGGAAAACAGTGTCCAGTATTTAAATCTTCGGTCTGTTATGAATGGCTTGCTCTTTTCTCATACTAAGGCCATGCCGCTGCCATAAAACTTTACGATCAGGAATTGCACACAAATCGTATAAAAGCGTAATGACTTGGCAGAGGAGCCAATAAGTTAATTGGCCTTATGCTTAATGTGGACTAATGTCGTTTTGAGCCCCGAAAAAAAAAAACAGGTGGAAGAGGAAGTCCTGCACGGTCTGACAGAGATGTGAAGACAATGATCACAATTAAATGCAACAACTGGACGTGCAGACAACGTTATTTTGTTAAGATAATTTATTCTCTGTTGAACCTAACTTTTTTGTCGAGGTATTGGTGAGTTTTTGCACCACAAAAAACAACAAAATGATATTTAAAAAAAGGCCCATAAAGTCTGCATTAAATTTTTCTTCAGGGGGGCGTTTTTAAGGAAACAGGCTGAGGAATCATGACGCTTTTCATCATCAATAGAGGAGCAGAAAAACGCTCTATGGCTGTTAATAAAACATATTTTTCTATAATAAAAAAAAAACAACCAAAACGTTTACACATAGTCTACATGTTTAGACAGTTGGTTATGAGACTAGAAGGTGAATACGTCCACAAACCTGCTATGAATGCCCGAGGACCCATGTTGGCTTTATTATCAGCCGTACTGGACTGTCAGCGATACGCACAGCGTCATGTTGACCTCCAGAAAATTGGAAGCCCCCCCCCCCCTCTCCTTTTCTCCTCTACCTGCATGCCTCCGTCTGTCCTCGGCTTTCCATCGGGCGCGTTTCGGCCTGCATGTCTGCGGGACTTGCGCAGAGGTAATTTGCGCTTGGAGGAGGCCACAAACGCTTCTCGCCGGGTTTTCTCCACCTCCCCAATACGTGAACCCTCCTTTCCTGTATTTATGATTAGAGGGTCATTTAAATAGCAAGGCCACGGATAAATCCGGATGCCTGGGCCCTGGCAGAGATTCACAAATTAAATTGAAAGCGGGGGCCTGTAAGGCATTGAGCCCTAACCCTATTCTACGAAAACATATCCGTTTTATCATAAATATAATTTATCCAAAATGAGTAATTGAAGACGTGACTCTGGGGATATATTTTTCTATTTTAATCTATTTTATATATTATGTTTGAACAGCAGATTTGATATGATGGTGAATCGTTCAACGAGATGCTTTTTTATGGCTTTATTACGTGAAAAGATGCTCATTGTCATAACAGATTGTACAATAAGGAATTTGCATAACTTCATTCATTTCTGATCAATCTACCACCACGTGGAGTATTCAAATGCACACTTTTGACCAGTTTAATGGACTTAGCATCACGTTGATGACAGGTTTTCCATCACCAGTCCTGTGTGTGATGATGTGTGTGTCCCCAGACAGACCCCATCGTTTAAATGTTCATGTTGGCAGACATCACCTCTAACGGGGTATGTGAAATAAAAATCTGTTATCCACGAGGAAGTCATTCTGCTGTGACAGGATTTCTTCACCTAATTATGTAAAGTTACTATCCAACAACCAGGAAGATAAAATAGTTCACCATAACATGTTGTGTTGACATGTAACCAAGGCAACCAACAGCCTACCATTCCAAGAAGTCCTTTCCATCAACTATAAACGGTGGGGTAAGTCTGTTTTCCCCCCCCGGTGGACTGTACTTTGCCTGTAGATTAAAGGTATTTACAGATCTTGGAGGGAATTTTTGTTTGTTTTTATTCAGAAGTATTTTGCACAATGTGAATTTTTCCTAGCCATTAAAACTAATCGGTATGCATGACTGTGGAGTTGCTTTAGAGCTGTAGCCAGAGGAAAGCAATCAGAAATCGATCGGCTTTGAGAAAAAACCTCCCAAAGCCGTAGCAGGACCGTGGGACTAGAATGATTTACCCCATTGATGATTGTTACATCTGAATAGGATCCAGAAACATCAGTCAGTGCACCTCACTGGTTGAACGATCGGTCTGTAAGTTATTAATTGTGTTTCTGGGGAGCGATTTCTGGGTTCCACTCCTGAACCTGTCGCCTCCCCGACCTGACCTCGGACTGAACGGACGGATTTAAGGTTATTGGACCGGGGGAACCCATCCAATCTGACTCTCACTTGATCCAAACTGCCCTCGCCTAGCTTCTCTCCCTCTGCCACACATGTTCTCACATGCATGTGCCCTCTTGAACTCTTCGCAGGATTCTGTAAGCGCGGCGCACACCCTTCCCACCGCCAGAGGACAGTTGCTTCAAAGAGGCCGCGGCCCTCCACTACAAAGCCGCTTTATCAACGAGTTATGCGTCAGTAAACGCGGCGGCTAACAGGAGTTAACCGAAACATTAAAGAGCTTATCAGCAATTACAGGCATATTTTTCAATCATTACCACAGCTCTCAGACAGCTTGCCCTGTCCTTAAACTAATGCTCTTGTGCTCTCTGGGTCCCGGCCAAGCCGGCGCGATATCTGCTCCCACTGGGTCACAGATTCCCACCGACTGACTGAACCTGCAGATAAGATCAGTCCGGATGCCGATAGATGAGACTGAGGGATGAAATGAAGCAACGTCTCTAGAGGCCTCTGGGATTTTTCAGTCGGAGACACCTCAAACCCGAGATTCGGGGTCCTTAAGCTTTTCTCAGAGGGTGTGTGTTTGTGTGTCTGTGTTGTTCTGTTTCCCTCCTTCAGACGTGCGGTGACACATGAGGTTTCTCAGGGACGACCAGCGCCACCTTTCCCACCGGCGTCCGGGCCTCGGCCGTGATAAACGATCCAGGTGCACAATGGGCTTTCTGTGAAGTGAGCGTCGGCTCTCCGCGCCCCCGGTAATTAGACTAATTCCCACAGTGTTAAAAGCACAAGATAAATCATCCAGCTTCGTCCCAGACCTTGAGACCAAAATTAATGTTGTCTCATTACGGAGATAAAGGTAATTTATTAGAGTTTTACTTCTCATCTCGGTCGCTGGACCCCGTCCCCATCATTTATTAACCAATATTGAGCTTTGCCATATGACATCTCCCCCCGCCGGATGTGAATCTCCTTCTCTCTGCCTTTGCCACTTTGGCCCATTCCAGCCAGCCTCTTTTGCTTCATCAGTGTATGTAAAGCTAAAGAAAAAAAAAAGACATTCGTCTGTCCGTCAGTCAACACATTCCCCAGAAAACCATCGACTAATGTCATTCTCATGAAACTCTGAGCTGCTGAGTCAGAGCAGCCTTCAACGCTCTTTCCAACCAAACAACAGACAAAGACAACTGCAAAAAGTTCAGTTTTAAAAAAGATTTTCTAAAGTGCGCTTATAAAAATGTGGAATCTTTTCTTAGCTTAGAGCCAAGGACCTGTAGCACTTATTTACCTCAATTCACTGAACCACTCAAACCCTTTCCCATATGTAAGTTATCTTTAAAAAGTTTTTTTTTTTTTTTTTACATATATTGCAATCCAATACACAGTATCTGAATATCAAGAAGTCAAATGGAGACAATGTTCACTGTTACTCTCCTCTGAAAGTAAGAATTTTACATGATAGATTGAAGGGATAATTAAGACATTTTCTGGTTTGTGGATGTAACTGGATAATCCTCTAGCTCAGACATGATCAAAGCAGAAGAAGCTTTAGGAAACAAATAGTTTACAAAAGCTAGTGAGATCCTTAATACTTTCGGTTTGAATGAATTTGAAGTTAGGCAACACCTTGTTATCTTTAAAGTTCCTCAGGTGTTGTCCCGTGTTTGATCTGAACCGTTCTGATGCATATTTCCCGTTTGATCTTTGATAATTGCTGATAGCTTAATACCAGTTCTCACATTTGATGAACCACAATGGATGCGGAACAAATCAATAAAAAAGAAAAGGTTCGGGTTCACAGTCTAAATTGGGGAATTCCAACCTTACATCCCTCCGCTCTGCTTCCAAGCTATTCCGCAGTGAAAACAAAAGCTTCCTTTTAACATTATCCAGTCTAGTGTGACTTTTATGGCCATTTAATGGGTCCTTCTATCTAACAGCTCCATGTTTTACTATCACCCATACAAGGGCCCCATTGTGGATAGATATGGGAGATAGGAGATAAATGCACTTTATCAGCCACAACAAGACATAATTACTTTCACCATGCTATCTCGCCCTCCCTCTCTGCCATGCATTATCTGGCCACTTATGAGGATATTCACAGTCATCAGGTGCTTTGAAGATTTCCGTCAGTTGGTTGTTTACTGTGCTCGCCGCTCCTCTTCTTAAAGATCAACTCGGTTTCAATTTGATAGCATGTTAACTCACATTGTTAGCTGGACCTTTCTGTTCAAA